TCCAGAATCTTTCGATTGCTTCATTCAATTGAGAGCTTTGTGTGAAGAAACAAGTAGCCGAATTGATATTATCTTTACCACACTGTGGGTTGCTAATTAATGACTGTGAAGAAATGGGGCCACTTATTATGTGGCCAAAGTGAGTATTGATTAAATACAACGAGTTTTCTGGAATTCGAGCAGGAGTGCCAAAAACTATACCGTAGTAAACATCTGCCCCGAGCAGAATATCAATATTAGAGGGGATATAAAAATCGGGATCTGCAAGTTTAACATTGTCAAAAATCGGGATTGTCTCTCTATTTAATTTGAAAGAGGGAATTTGCTTGGTTATTTTATCAAGAACACAACACGAAACACGAAATGAGCAATTCTTCTTTATTGCTGAATGAATCTGCAAACTTGCAACTGCCCCAGAGTAAATTGCTGTTCCTTGCACACAATTTAATTCCATATCACTACATTTAGTCCGAATGCCAAGTCGCCTTACCAAATCCTTGGTAACTAGAGAGGTAGTGCTGCACGAATCTAGTATGACTCGCGCATAAATTGGTTTATTTTCAATTGTGAATAATTTTACCATCGCGGTTGCCAACAGAACTTCATTACTTTTCACTTGAGTACTGAGAGTTGTCTTAGACAATGAAGCGCAGTGAAAGGTATTGTTTTCAGGATGTGTAATGATTGGAGTCGGTGAGTTATTTGGGATATAACTTTCTTGACCCGCGTTATTCTGTGAGTTTGAATTCGATCCTACACTACTACATGGTGGTAATTTATTGAGCATTGACATATTTCGTCCTCCATACGACAAAGGGGTTTTGCGTGCCATATGGCGGGAGTTTTCCTGATTGGAATTAGATCCTTCAAAATGCAATAAAGTGTGGTGTCTTTCCTTACAGATTATGCAACACCCTTGAGAACGACAGTCATTAACCGTATGCTGAGAACCTAAGCAATTAAAGCACAGCCTGTTATGCTTAACGAAATTTATCGTTTCTTGTTGATTGAGGGCGTTAAAAGACAAACACTGGTAGATCTTGTGACCACTTTTCTTGCAAAATAAACATGTCATGTTTATAGTTTGTGGCGTAGAAAGGTTGAATTTATGGGTTTTAAAAGAATTATGGACTTTGCCGTGTGAGGAGAAATTAACTGAATGCATGCTTATGAGAGTGCAATTATATGCTTGAGAGAACTGCTTGCGAGTCTCTCCGATTGAGCGTGTGAGAGAGCAATTATATGCTTGAGAGAACTGCTTACGAGTCTCTGCGAGTGAGCGTATGAGAGAGCAATTATATGCTTGAGAGAACTGCTTGMGAGTCTCTGCGAKTGAGCGTGTGAGARAGTGTTTAAATCAAATWACATTTGGTGAGAGAACGACCAAACAATAATAATTCATGCGACATTCAACAATATGAGGGTACTTATCTACTTGTACACTTGTGAGGTTCTTGTTGATTCAAGCCGACATTTGCCGCCAGGACCTAGTCTTCTTGGACTGGAATCTGGAACGTGTTGGACCAATTTCTTCTGGATCAGTCTCGATGTGGAC